CCCCTCCTCCCGCACACATCTGCGTGTGTGAGTGCTACGAGCTAACGCTCCCCTGCGTTCAGATCCTGGCCGAGTGGAAGCAGAAGCACGAGGAGAGCCAGGCCCAGCTGGAGGGCGCCCGGAAGGAGTCCCGCTCCCTGAGCACGGAGCTCTTCAGGCTGAGGAACTGCTACGAGGAGGCGCTGGAGCACCTGGAGGCCACGAAGAGGGAGAACAAGAACCTGCAACGTGAGTGAGGCGCCATCGCGATGAATCCTTTTATAGCACAGGGGCTTTTCTGGTTTCTAAACCGGCGCTTCGTTATCGAAGAGGAGGTCTCCGAACAACTCGGGGAAGGCAGGAAGACGATCCGCGAGCCGGAGCAGGTGGCCACGGAGGACTACGACGCGCAGACATCGCTGGACGAATCCGAGGTACGCGCCGCGACCGCCAACAACGAATACCAGCGCGGCGTCGATTCGTCAGTTTTCTTCTTCTCTGAAGGCCGTCCTGGAAGAAGCGGAGTCCCGGATGCCGCGAGCGCAGACGCAGATGAACCAGGTGAAGGCCGAGGTGGAGCGCAGGGCGGCACAGCGGGATGAGGAGCTGGACCAACTGAAGCGGAGCGGCCTCTGGGCGGCGCAGGCCGCCGTGGACGGCGAGGTGCGGAGCCGGAACGGCGTGCTGCGGGCGAAGAAGAAGATGGAGGGTGACCTGAACGAGATGGAGGTTCAGCTGAGTCGCGCCAAGCGGCAGGCGGCCGAGGCTCGGGAGCAGCTGAGTAACGTCCGGGGGCAGCTGAAGGTGACGTGGTGGTTTTCTGTCCTTTAAAGTAGTAAATCTCCTGTTTCTTTTCTCCGCTGCGACTGACGAGTGCATTTTTCAGGATGCTCAGATCCTCCTGGAGGAGTCGATGAGGGTTCAGGACAACGCGAAGGAGCAGGTGGCCCTGATGGAGCGGAGGGCGGCGCTGACGCAGGCGGAGGTGGAGGAGCTGCGAGTCGCGGTGGAGCAGACGGAGCGGAGACGCAAGACGTCCGAGCGGGAGATGGTGGACGCCAGCGCGCTCCTCCGCTCTCAGGTAGACTCACAGGAACAACGCTGTCTGTCTGTCTGCCTGTCTGTCTGCCTGTCTGTCTGTCCCTGCAGAAGTCACGTGGTTTTTTTTTTCTTCTCGGGCAGAACACTGGTCTAATAAACACCAAGAAGAAGCTGGAGGCCAACGTCACTCGTCTTCACGCTGAGGTCGAGGAAGCCGCTCACGAGGCCAGGAGCGCCGAGGAGAAGGCCAGGAAAGCCATCGCGGAGGTAAAGCGCTCCCCCCTCCTTCTGTGTGTAAAGCTAAATAATAAATGTTATCTCGACACCTCCAGGCCGCCGCGGTGGCCGAGGAGCTGAGGAAGGAGCAGAACACCAGGGCTCACCTGGAGAGGATGAGGAAGAACCTGGAGGTGACGGTGAAGGACCTGCAGCGCCGGCTGGACGAGGCCAAGAACCTGGCGCTGAAGGGCGGGAAGAAGGAGCTCCAGAAACTGGAGGCTCGGGTCTGTTTACCGCGTCTACTTCCACCTTTCATAGTCATAATAAGAATCTGCACTAAAAATAGACATGATGCTCCAACGGGGATGACTGTATGAGGAACCTTTGAGTTATTTAAAATGTATTTAATTCAAATGCGGTAAAATGCAATGAGATCATAGAAAGGACCCTGTGTGGCCTTCAGGTCCGAGAGCTGGAGAGCGAGCTGGACCTGGAGCAGAAGCGCTCGACAGAGGCCTCCAGAGGAGTCCGCCAGTGCGAGAGAAGAGTCCAGGAGCTGAGCTATCGGGTAAAACTCCTCCACTGTTCTTCAAAAACATCAAGTGACAAAAGACAGAATCACGACTCCCGGATCTCCACCTCTTTCAGGCGGAGGAAGAGCAGAAGAACAACGCTCGGCTGCAGGAGCTGGTCGACAAGCTGCAGAGCAAAATGAAGGCCAACGAACGTCACGCAGTAACAATTGTGTTTTGCTTCTTATGCGCATTATATACGCTCGTATTTAGAAGTGGTGGGAGAGAAGATATAAAGATAATTATCATGGTTTTACTACCGCAAATATGTGTTTCTGTCTTCTACAGTTTAAGCTGATTTCAGAAATTAAAGTTCTTCACTAAATCATGTTGTAATATTCTGTTTTTTAATCGTTTGCAGGCCCAAGAAGGACCGAACGAGAAGCTCAACGCCTCACGAGTTTAACTCATGAATGTGCATGAAAAGCAGTTTACCACATTAATAATGCAGTGTTTTACTCAAACAAATACACTTGCATATCTACCAGTAGTGACGAAAACATCTGTAGCTACAATATTTAACCCAATAATTAAACTATAAAATTTACTTTAATGCATTTCATAATAAAAAATGAAGCGATGTCAACTTGTTTTCAGAGACTATTATTATTAATAATGTTGTACAGCTTTCTATAGAGGCAATAAAATAAAACACTGCTGTCACTTGATCAAACGTTACTTTATTTGTTATTAAACCATAGAACATATTAAACCGTTTAGCGTATTCCTAAATTATTGTTTTTAATTATATCTAAGGATGCTAATGCAGTGTATATAGTGTCCTTTAATTATTGTGGTTAAATTTACTTTGTTCGATCATTTCCCATCTTGTTGGATTCACCTACGTCTCATTTTTAAAGTTCAGTTTTTTGTCTTTCTGTTTGTAAAAGCAATTTGACCTGTGTTCTGTCTAAACAGGTAAATATCTGTACTTTCTCTCTCTATTTACAGCAATATATAAATAAAATGGTGATAATAGTAATGAGAATATTATACGCCTTGCTCTTAATTAATACAAGAAATAAGGGAGTTGGATTTTTTTTTTAATTCAGGCAGCATACATCCACCAACAAAATGTGAACAATTCCTGGTGTTTATTATTAGTATATTGCACAGCTTCATATTTAAAGGCAATTTAGGGTACATTTTGTCCTGAATATTCACTATTTCACTGCGGGTTTTTTTGTGGTTATTTTGGTCTAGTTTTTCTACACACATGGGGCCGCAGGTTATTTTCACCAACCGTCACAAGGGGCTTATTGCACTCTTACAGATGCTATTTCGGTGGATACAGCAGAGCGGCCTGATTGGTGTCCGGACACATCGGGCAGACGACCTTTGAGAGCGGATCTCTGGGAGGATCGGTTCTGCTCCTGTAAGAATATTATAGCAGAAAAAAAGGCCTGGAAAGCCTGAGGGGGGCGACCGTTACGTAAACAGAGATGCGTTGTTATTCAATGAGGTCTAAAATCGGTAGGATTCATCATCTGGTGACCATGAATGTTTGCACAAAATGACACGACAATCCATCAAATTGACGTTGAGCTATTTCCATCTGGAGGTCCTTGTGCTGCCACCAAAAGAATATTAGTGATAATTGGAATCAATCTGAATATAGAACAGAGTTATTAACATTGATCATTAAGCGCAACACAGGAACCCGAACAATGCTCATTGTTTTTGAGGTGAAAATGTGGTTGCTGCGTCCCGATGCACATGAGAGACGAATGACCTTTGACCCTCAGCGCCCACGTTAGCTTCTGAACGTTCTCCCACTGACGTCCACCGCGAATTGTTCAGAAGACGCTTGAGGCTGAAACATTAGAAATTATAATTCACTGCTCTTGTATTTTGACACCCTCAAGGGGTGTGAGGGGGGAAAATAGAGCAGGTGGATTTAAAGCCCGTGAAATGAACATCCCAGTCATAATGAAGTCATAACCAACTGATTTATTCTACGTACAAGAGGAGATTGAGATAGACTAAATCTTGTTTCCTCTGGCCTCCTTTTAGTCTCTTGAAGTTACAAGTCATTCATTCTAGATCCGTTTTTTTTTTTTGCCTTCCAGTGAGACATACAATTGCTTTTGTACAGTGTGACAAAAATAACCTAGATTTCTTTATTTTCAACAAAGCTGCTTTGTGCAGCAGTGGCAGAATGGGAAGATTTTATTAATTCATTAAAAACCTAAAAAAAATGTATAAAAATGTGTAAACAAGACCTTTTGAAAATATTTATAGCCAAAACAGTTTTATAGACTAATATTTAAATGAGCTAATCTAATAAACACATTGTTTCAGTTTGGTTATAATGAAAACACTCATTCATGTTTAGGTCCTCTAAATATTTTTTGGGTTGTGATTTTTTTGAGTGTAAAAAGATATCTTTGCCAAAATTGGGGTCTATTACTTTCTCTAAAACTAAAAAGTAAATTTAGTCTAGTTCAGTAGTTCTTAACCTGGGTTTGATCGTATAGTATCACAATACATTTTATAAAGTAAGCTTATAATACAACACACAAGCAGTATATCACCACAAACCAAACATCTCGTAAAAAGTAATCAGATATAAAATGTGGTACTACAGCACAAAATGGCTAACGTTATCTCCTAGCTTGTAGGAGGAGTAGCTAACGTTAACGTTAGCTAACCTTCAACGGGAGTGAAAATGACAAATTGGTGACGTTTAATCATCATTGCGTTACGTTACACGGTATTTAACGTTAGCTAACATATGTGAGAAGGTTGATGGGCCGCCATTTTTTACCTGGAAACCCCACTGGACTCTATTGTACAACACGTGCTACACAAAAACACACATTCATTCATATCGGCGTTATGTTACCATACTTCTCATTTGGCGTTCGAACAACACGTTTGTTTAAACAATCTTTTTTTTGTTTGTTTATTTTCTCTTTTTTCGTTGAACACATTTTCAAGTGTGTATTCCATTTGAGGCAATAAACCCACTTTTGAATCATAAATAATAAAGGCCTTATTTCGAAATCGGGCAAAGTATGGAGGCTCAGAATGAATCTATGATGAGATTCTTTCACCAAAGTGGAGGAACAATAAAAAAAAGAATGAAATGATTTAAGTGTGTTTCTCCTTTCTTTTAGCTGGTCTTGGTCTGGTGCTGTTGTCTGCACATCGGAGGATAACCTCGCTAACACTCGCATCCGGCACATGGCGCCCGAAGGGCCCGTCGGCGGGACCACAAGCGGCCTCATTCTCCCGAGACGGACAGAACCCATCTGTTGTATCTGAACAGGACCAGACTGTCGCCCTCTTTAGACTGCGCGGGATCTAACAGAGAGAAGCAGCGGCGGGGACAGAAAGGTTCTTGTTGTGTCGCTGTGCATCACTGCTGTGTCTCACACTGTCCTCCTTTGTGTTTCTGACAGAGTGAGAAGCCCCAGACGTTTCTGTCCAACAAAGACTCGTACAGAATGTCTTGATCCAAACCAAAGCACGTCTTCCTCTCTACCAAGGCCCTCTTTTATTCTGACTTTTTGGAAAAAAATGCTTAAAAGCTGCTCAGTGTCCCTCGGTTCCCGGCAGGCTTTGGAGCATAGTGGACGTAAATGACATCCAGTAATCTTTCATATTTCCAGTGGTGGATTCTGCAGCACAACAGCGTACCAGCATGGTAAGAACTGCTTTTAACTGGTTTTAATGCTACTTACAGAATGGAGGGCTTCTTATTTTTACGGCAGACCAACTAGAATAAGAGTTTATCGTCTCAGCTCATATTAATGTGAGACTATTAGTTTGCATCTTCAGTATTCTTAGCACACGTGTAGGTAGTCCCTCTCTCTTTAAGATCATTTCTGCCTTATGTAACACGTTCACAGATGAACGCCTCCAGTTATTGGTTAAAGCACGATTTGCTTCCAGCTTCATTCATAACTAAAGTTTTGTTGGATCTGAACTGAGCGGTTTGCTGCCAAAAAAGCTTTTCATGCACATTTTTATTAAATCCAGAAATAAAGAGAGTGAGATTTATGAATCTCTACAACAGATGTAAACAAACTATTCAGAGAACCTGTTAAAATAATCCACTACACATAATAGTCCAGTATTCAAAACCTTTCTAAAGTTAAAGTTTGTATCAGCGACTTATGAATTTAAAGAAGAGACTGAAGTTTTCCCAGTCAGGATTTGTATTATATCTGGTGTTTGTGGATGTATATTTCCGCTGCATTAATGAATATGTTTTATTTATTGTTTCTACATCAATGCCTCATATTCAGATCATCGCATCTGTTGCGTCTCTGTCCTTTATCTCTAAAAAGAACAGCATGTTTTCTGCTCCGTGACATCTTTAAAGAGGCTTTTTAAAGAGTTAATTTAGCTGAAGAAACAGCACATACAAGTTAATCACAATTATTTAACGTCATTCCACATCTGGAAACACGTGGTTGGGCAGGAAGGGGAAGTAAAGCTCAGATTCTGTCCCCTGAGAGGATCCAGGCCTCGTTGTAGAAGAGGTTTGTCGGACCTCCTGAGCTAAAACCAGAGTTCACCCCTAAACGCACGGCTCATTCAGGCAATTCTCTGTCCCGCTTTTGGTGGAAATAAATCTGCCGATGCTTTTTGATTAGTGATATTCAGAAACAAGTCTTCAGCATAAATTATTTATTCTAGTAAAATGGGATTCAATGAATACATGATTAGTTTAGTCTGCTGGAAAAGACTAATTAAGAAGTTTGCAGGTTTCATCTCAGTCCAGTGTGTAAAGCCTGTAAAGAACACGATACGCCTCGTTTGTCACGTCGATAATAATCTCCCCCACGCACACGCGTGTCCCACCCCTCAGGTGTCTGCACACGGTGCTTATGCACAGCATCTGTGGTGGCGGAGGCTCCTGGGGACCGATGATAAGGCAGAGCTGACATTTATCGTCATTTATCCATTTAGCGGATAATATCTCCCCGTGTGCATAACTCTGTTGAGAGAACTGCTGAAATGCAAAGTAGGTTTTTGATGACAAACTGCGGCGCTCGTTGCACCGGCTGTTATGATTTAGATCTGCTGGATATGCGAGCTGCAGGCAAGACACCAACTATAATAAAGCAGCAGCATTGCAGTTTATCAAGATGGATTAAAGCATCGAATTAAAGCAGACGTTCAGCCGACGTTTTGTTTAAATAATGAACGATGGTATTTAGTTATTTATTGTCATATGTACAATGTTACAGGCAAGTAAATGCAATAATAAGTATTTAAATTATTCTCCCACTAACAATTCACATGTGAGTTTTAAAAAAAGAGAAAAAAATCAGTATAATTGACAAAACACAAATAGGCGTGAAACACTGCAGCTGTTAAAATAAAGAAAATCCAATATCACATGAAGTGTGTGCAGAAGACTGGTAGTAATTAACGGGTCGATGTATAAACTGTAAAGCAGGTGCAGCCGTGCAGTACAGTTGAAGTACTCGTATAGTAGTACTTGTATAGCAGTGGTATTCAGGAGTAACATTTAAAGTGTTTGTACACAGAAGCCAGTGGCCGTGTGCTCCGCTGCACCGGAGGAGGATTCCGACCGCCGGCCTCTTCCTCCCGGGTGGAGCAGCTACACCTCGCCCGAGGGGCTCCGCTACTACGTCAACAGCTGCAGCAAAGGTGAGAGAGGGTGAAGCACCGTCGGCACATCGGGACCGTAGCCGCTAACCGGTGAAGCATGTCGCTTTTATTCTGAGCGAAGTGACTTTTCATCTGAATTTACAAGACAAAACAAAAATGATGTCAAATTCAAACCGCTTGGTCCTCAGCGCTCCGCTCATGTGGACACATCGGTCCACGGCGGCATCTCACGAGGACACCCGTCTCCAGCTCTCACACCAGAGCACCGGGGTGTTAATACAGGCCTTTCACTGACATCTGGTGTGTGTGTGTGTGTGTGTTACACTTGATTTGGGAATAGATCTAGTGGGGATGAAACAGCCTCCGTCAGGACTGACGAAAGGCGCCATCAACAACATCTCTGGCGGTGAATCCACTTTGGCTCACAGCACACACACACACACACACACACACACACACACACACGCACACACACGCACGCACGCACACGCACACACACACACACACACACACACACACACACACAAACACGCACACACACATATACTGAGCAGGAAAAAAACACCCAAAAGCTATTTTTACATTCAGCAGCCATATGCTGCAGCAGTCACTTTTTATCTTGTTACAGTTTGTTGTTGTTTCGTGTCTGAGCGACGAGCTTCACAGAGGAGCTATTGACAGCGTGTGCCTGTGTGTGTGTGTGTGTGTGTGTGTGTGTGTGTGTGCGTCATAGAGATGCCAACGGGGTTTATTAGAAAGCTGTTGTTTCTGTCGTTTAATGGAGGAAGTGCACGACGGAGTTGAAGTCCTTTGTTGCTGCAGAAGTGACTTCAGGATTTGGAGCGATGAGAGAACAAATATGGCACGAAAAAAACAAGGCTTTAAAAAAATGTGACTGTTTATGAAGACATTTGCTATAATTCGGAAGCAATAAGCAGAATCAAAAAGCTGTTTACAAGAAGACAGTGGAAAAGTCATAGCTCTTTTTTTTAGAGACAGTAATTTGGTTCAAAGAAAACGTTTTATTCGTGGTGCGGTTTGAAAATGAGACGTGTAGAATATAATGTTGTCGATGAAAGCTTTGTTTCGGTCACCTTTGAGAGAAGCGTTTGCTTGCAGATTATGGAAAAGAGAAGATTCTGATTGATTGAAATCCTGCTTTTGTGGCTGAGAGGGTTAAAAGAGCTCAGCGGAGGAGGTTACCTTCATTCTGTACATCGCTCAGCAGAAAGCAGCACTTTGACGCTGCGCTGATGCTCTGAATGTCACATATGGTCCTTTAATGGAAACGGGAACACTTCATTCCTGACATCCATCTTCAGACTTGGACGTTAAGGAGCCGGAGACTCTCGGCTGTAGAGCGTCAAGGACCTCCTGCTTCACCAAGTGGAACGATTCCTTATTACCTCGTGGGACAGACAAGCACCAGGAAATAAAAAGTTCACTGTGACTTTCCCCTCGAGAGCTTTAGTTTCTTCACTGAAAGATGTCTGCGAGTTTAAGGGACATTTTAGGCAACAAGCATACGATGAATGATATGGAATCTGTCCAGCAGTAAGTGAGGAGCGTTCGTCCCGTGTGGATGAGAACGTCTCACAGAGCGTCCAGAATGAAGGTGTATCCCCCGAGGAGCATGAATGTGCTCAGCACTTTGCTTCTAGTTGTTTGCTTTTATTAAAACCGATGCAACATCAAATAAAATGACGCAGAACCACACAGGTGAGGTCAAAGCATCGACACCGACCTCCGACTTCTCATTGAGAGGTTGTGGCAAAAAACACCGACAACCTGTGGAAGTTTTCCCTTCCTGTCCCCCTCTGTCTGTTCCCAGAGACAACATGGCGGCGTCCCTCCCCGTCAGCCGAGGCCCCGCAGAGAGCGCTGGCACCACAGAACGCCGCTCCGTATGGTAACGCCGAGCCGCCTCGCGCACGCGCTTTCATCTTCTGCGCCCGTTCCCACGAGGCCGCCCCGACCCGAGAACGCAAACCCCACCCAGCGAGAAGCTGCTTTAACACAGAGAGCTGATGATAACCGGAACGTGTGTTCTCGCGTGTCGGGTTGACCGTCGTCGCCATGATGATGGTTTCCATTTGGCGCCACGGGGTCACAACTTAATGTTTCAACAGCGGTAAATGTGCTTATTACCCTAAAACCTATGGAATGCAGTTTTAGTCAAAATTAAATAAATACGTAAATACATGAAATATGCATTTGAAATACATCATGAAATAAATAAATGAGGCAATAAATACATAAATATTAAATACATTTATATAATCTTTTATTTCATAATGCCGTTTTTCATTTCCAGAGACTTATTTCATAATGCCGTTTTACATTTCCAGAGACTTATTTCATAATGCCGTTTTTCATTTCCAGAGACTTATTTCATAATGCCGTTTTACATTTCACGTTCCTATATGCAAATCAGGGGGCGTGGCTACATCTAACGTTCAGAACAGACAACAGAGCCGTGTGCAAAAGAAGGCTGGCTAAGGGACCGGTGGGCTCCGAGGTAGCATGCTGGCATTAGCAGATCAAATCGATCAACATGGGTTTTCTGCAGATACAATTTTGACACATTATGAGGGTTTTGGGGAAATACTAGGGCGGATAAGTGCCCTTATGATGTAGACAAAGACGACGAAGTTTTAAATTGTTTAAGACTGATTGAGCACCGCGTGCGTGTGGAAGTGGTCCAAGTTGAAGAAGTCAACATTAGCGCTGGTACTACAAGCACAGGTGCTGGACGCCTCTGGGTATTCCTGGCGACAAGCTGGCTAACTTTGTGTTGTCCGGTCTGTCAACCCGAGAAATCCAATATCCAGGAATATCCAGAGGCGGGCGTCCAGCACCTGTGCTTGTAGTACCAGCGCTAATCTCACGTCCCCACTTCTTTTGCACACGGCTCTGTTGCCTGTTCTGAATGTTAGATGTAGCCACGCCCCCTTGATTTGCATATAAGAATGTGAAATGTATAACGGCATTATGAAATAAGTCTCTGGAAATGAAAAACGGCATTATGAAATAAAAGACTCTGGAAATGAAAAGTGGCATTATGAAATAAAAGACTCTGGAAATGAAAAGTGGCATTATGAAATAAAAGTACCATGAAATAATTAAATGTATATTAATGTATTTATTGTCTCATTTATTTATTTCATGATGTATTTCAAATGCATATTTCATGTATTTACATATTTATTCATTTATTTAATTTTGACTAAAACGGCATTCCATAAAAACCGGCTTCTAATAACTGACGCGATAGTATTTCCAAAACCTTTGACAAAGGCCGCGTAATACTTCCCTCTGCGGGAGGAAATCCTACGTTTCCCTAAATGACTGGCTTATTATGTTTCACCGCCGCCAGCCTCCTCGCTAACGACGTCTCCGCAGAGAGCAGATGGTTCCCTTCCTTCTGCTGGCGTGTGGCCCCAACACATTCAGGGAGGGAGGGGGGGCGTTTGTTAGCATCCGACCAGAGGAGTGTGATCCCGCTCAGAGAGGGGGGAGTGTAGGGCCGACCTGGATCCTCAGAGGGAGGAAGGGTGAGGCATCAATCAGGGGGGAGGGACGAGACTGAGTGGCCCGGTGCGTGACGGGTGTGTGTGTGTGTGTGTGTGTGTGTAGTGGTACAAATCTCATCAAAACATCCATAATTCAGGCTTCACAAGCCGGGTGTCGTTTACATCCATGAAGCCGTCACGTGGGGGTTACGGGCCGATGAGCCAACCGCTGTAAAAGCGCAAGTCACTGACGTCTGAAGTCAGCAAAGGGGTTTTTATCTGTGGTCCCTCGTGGTGGAAGGAGAAGTGGGTGGAGGTCAACGCTCCTGTAAACCACACCGACTTTCTCACTGATCTAATCAAAGGTCACTTTGCTCTTCTAGTAGCGAGATAGTTCGCTTTCATCCTGGTCCTGGTTCATCCGGTCCTCTGGGGCGGGGGGGGGGGGAGGGGTGCACTCTGCGGGACTCAGGTGTTTACCTTCAGCTGGACGATGGGAGGGTGTGATGTGCACCGAGCAGACAGCTGGTGGATCGCAGGCAACGCAGAACCATTAGTGGCCCGAAGGATGAAACCAGGGACGCTTCCTCAGAGCTGCGAACCCCCCCGTCGGGACCGCGCTCGCTTACGACACTGATCAGTATGCGCCTGTGTGGCTCGGGGCAGACGACGTACCGTGCAGGCTGGAAAATGGGCCTTTGAATGTTACAAATGCTAGTTTAGAAGAGAGGCGATCGGTGTCCCCACTAAAAAGGCTGAACCTCAAGTATTGAGACTCGTGTTGTTGCTGTTGTGTGTTTTATGATCTGCTTTCTCTTCAGCCAATGGAGGCCACGGCAGTAGGAAGCCCGCCGCCCCCCCAGAGGCCGCCGAGGTCACTCTGAGGAAACCGCCCCACCTCAAGCAGGTAAGAAGAAGAAGAAGAGGCTTCACACGTTGAAGAAGCTGCCACACTGTTTCCCTTTGTTGCTTAATTAGAACAATTTCGTCATCGATGATGATTCTTGTAATTTGTCAAGAAAGAACGATAACCGAGTCGCGAGGAAACGATGTCGTCGATTCATCCTTCCACCTCAACCCTCGCGTCACCCTCGTGGAAATGGAAAGAAAATCAATAAACAGCCTTTTTAACGAAAAATGCTCCACGTTTACGCTTTCCAGCAACGTGGATGTGAAATGTTGGTCAGACAAACACAGCTGAGTGACATCGCCATGGAGAATACGTTTTCACAATAATTTACAGAACAATCTGTGGCTTCAGCAGATTTCTTTTAAACAACGCTCTCGGCTCTCCATCCGGAGCGAGTTATTCCACGGCTCCGAGCTGCGCCGCTGAAAGCAGCTCAGATGGACCCGGGCCAACGCCGCGTACCCGCCAAGCCGCCAACCCACGTGACCCGAGCCGGCCGATTGGGCGAACCGAGAGCGTCGGACCGACCGACGGCAAGCGCCATATGGGCAGCCGAGACTCAGGAGTCCACTCTGTTTGTCAGCTTTGGAAAGGAGCGCTGGGAACGCTGGGATAGTGGCGGTGGGAGCTGCACCGTCGCCATGTTCTGTGCAGCGAAGGTGAGAGCTCGGTGGGCTTCGTCGTGGCTGCGATGGTGCGGACGGACCCGGTGGGGGCGCTGGAAGGTGCGACGGCGGCAGCGGCCACGCGTTGCCGTTGGACGGCGAGAGCGACGTAGTTGCACAGTGACGTAAACACGAGGGGTCGCGACCGCAAAGGGAGTATTTGTGTTGGTGTTGTTGTGCTGTGCGGTACGCGGACACGCTGGTGCGCCTCCTCCACCCTTGATCGAGCGCTTCATCGGCGAGGCCCCGTCTCATTGGCCGCGCCTGCGTCCCTCCTCCGGTCCGCCAGCCAATCGCAACGGCTCTTTAAACATCATCACTCAACCATTTGGACCAAACACCCGCCGCACACACCTCCGCCGCCGGCTCAGTGGCCTCTCTCTCTCACTCTCTCTCTATGCATGAACATCTTTGGGTGAGGGTTGGAGGTGATGCTGTTTGGGGGAGGGGGGGGGAGGTGGGTCCCACACGGGCAGCATCCTTCTATTGTAAGCAGTGTGACTTGACGCCCCCCCCCCCTCCCCGCCCCTTCCCCCGTCTTCCCTCCCTGATGCTACCTTTCCCAACACCTCACGTCGCTTCCTCCTCCCTCTTCCTCCCCCGACACTCTCATTGCAACGCGACTCCTCTCCACTCGCTCCGTAGATTGTGAGACTGGAGGCAGCCGAGAGAGAGAGGGAGAGGAGAGAGAGAGGAAGAGAGGAGAGAGAGGAGAGGAGAGAGAGGAGAGAGAGAGGAGAGAGAGGAGAGAGAGAGGAAGAGAGGAGAGAGAGGAGAGGAGAGAGAGGGGAGGAGAGAGAGAGAGAGGAGAGAGAGAGAGGAGAGAGAGAGAGAGGGGAGAGAGGGGAGGAGAGACAGGAGAGAGAGGGGAGGAGAGAGAGGGAGAGGAGAGAGAGAGAGGAGAGATAGAGACAGGAGAGAGAGGGGAGGAGAGAGTGGAGAGAGAGGGGAGGAGAGAGAGAGAGGCTTTCCCAGAGCAGAGAAGCAGGAGGTGCGAGGGACGATGATGGAAGCCAGCTTTGACACTGAGGAGAGTTTTGACGACCCTTCCTGTCTCGCCCCCCAGCCGCCCGGCTCCGTGTCGCCGGCCAGGAGGCAGATCAGGGAGGTCAAAGAGACCAAGATCACGGTGAGTACCCAGCTGCCCCGGCTCTTCATCGCGCTCTTCATCTTCCTCCTCGTCGCGGGGCGGAAAGAACTTCCTCTTTGTTTTACTATCATCTGTTGTCCCCGAGCCCACTAGAGTAGTGCACCGCGTGGGGAGCATCGTGGGTTTCCCCTGCGCGTTGGCGTGGACGGAGACTCGCTGACTGACTCACCGATCCACCGATCCGTAATATCGATCCATAATATCGATCCATAATATCGATCCTAATATCGATCCATAATATCGATCCATAATATCGATCCATAATATCGATCCTAATATCGATCTATCCGTCTGATCTGTCTGATCAGAGGGACACGAGCTCGTTCCTGACAGAAGCGTGTCTGACAGCATCTGTGGAGCAGTGCAGGTCACACAGCAGCATTTGGAAGCGTGAGATACGAGCCCCCCCACCCCTCCTCCCTCCTCCCTCCCCCTTCTCCCCCCCGCTGCACGTAGTATTTTGGCTGTGAGGAGGCGATGAGGAACACCAGAAGGATTAAACGTGTGTTGGTCTTAAGATGCCCAGACAGAAGCTGTGCTTATGTAATCTGTTGTAATAAGGAAGGGGGGGTGGGGGGTTGATGGTGGGGAGACAGACACACAAAGGTGGTTTTGTGTGTCTGTGACCCGCTGCGGCCGCGTGAGCCGTCGGTCCGGCTATTGCGAGAGGAGAGAAAAAAAAAATAACACCAGCAACGGTGAGATGCAGCAAGTCCAGTTTCCATGGTGACGAAAGCCACGGCGCTGATTTAATGGCTGCTGAGACGAAAAGCGGTGGCATAAGAGGAGGGGGGGGGGGGGCTGACGTACGGCGAGCTCGGTGATCACGTTCTCACTCTTTGCAGTCGTTATTATTCCCCCCGTCGTCAGGCCCCGATTAACAGCGAGAGTTTATTCCTGCCGCGGCTGCTGGAGATAAAATCACCGCGAGCCAGGAAGGCGATGACGTCGGTAAACAACGGTGCGCCTCGCTGTTACACAACCCCATCCACCGTCGTCATGGAAACGCACACGTCCGCGACCGTGGAAAATGGACCGTCCGGAGACGCCCTCTGTGACCTTGTACTCTCCTTCAGCAACAGGAGTCTGTTGATGGTTGTTGTGGTTGTTGTTGTTTCTGCTTATTAAACATACGTAGATTCACATGCGGTTCGACTTGTTGCTAAGCGCCGTGCGTTCAGGCACTCGGGGGGCGGCAGAAGCTCATCTTTCCTCTTTGGCGGGACTCTGTCAGAGTGTGTGTGTGTGTGTGTGTGTGTGTGTGTGTGTGTGGGGAGATCTTGTCGCCTTTCACAGCAAAAGCAATTTGTCGCGTAGCAACAGCAGCATCGTACAGTCACATTACAGGAAGAGATGAGAGTTCCACAGAATACCTCCTTGTTATTTTTGCTTTATTCAGCAGAGCCATGACCCCCCCCCGAGTGAGGACGAAATGTCCCTACTCACTCTTTTACCCTTCATTTTTTTACCCTTCTTTTAAAGCAAATTAGAGAGACAGTATTTGTATTTTTTATTTTCAGAATTTGCTGTTTCCACTCAAAGGGTCTCCAGCAGAGACCCGAGGCGTCGTGTTTTGGTCCGTGGGAGATTTCAGGACTTTCTTTAATAACCTGATTAGAATCTGGTGGTCAAAGTTCACAGTTGTTTTGGGTCATAACTTCAGGTCGGTGGAGACAAACGACTGCGAGGGCTATTCCTGTTTTAGCTGCAGAATGTTCAAACTGAACTGAAATCAGTTCAGTGAATCAGCTGCGACTAACGAAACGCGTCAGGATGCTCTCAAGCTGCGTCGACTCGTCGCTTCATCTTATCGGCCTTTTCATCACAGAGGAAGTGCTCATATCTGACATCACGCAAAACTGAGCTGTTTACACGGTTCATGACAATGAAAACTGCACTAATGTTTACATGCAGCCGTTTTTCTGAAGCCGCTTTTTTCTGAAAATGACATGTAAGTATAGTATGTTGTTTGGGTGAGCCGGATGAAGTCTGTACAATATCTATATTCATATTTGATTGCCATGAAGCAGCTGAGCTGTCTCTTTTAGACGGATGGAGAGTCTGCTGCCGTGACGACCGCCTCCATCTCTGAGGAGACCCTCCGGAGGCGCCGTTTGGCGAGTGGCCACGCCGGTCATTTCCTCTGGATCCATAGTGGTCATGTCAGAGAGAGAGAGAGAGAGTAGCACGCGTGTCCTTCTGAAGCTGTTTATGGGGGAGCTGCTCCAATGTGATAAGCTGCAGCGTTTCATGGCGACGGCTCACGCCGCAGATGAATTATAGTGTGTTTAATGTGGCAGTTATACTATATATATATATTCATACATATAATACCTACGTGTCTGATGTTTGTTTCATTCTAACTTATGCAAAACAATATTTTTATATCAGCAATGAAAAAACAAAAGAGATTCCCTCCTCCAAATGAAAGATGACGTCATCCCTCCGTCTGTTGGCGACGCTTTGCGTGTTCATTTTATGAGGAGTTTTCTTCTGTAATATTTCATCTGTGGTGGAATATCCTTCGGGAAACAAAGCCTGTCACATGACCTGCGACCCCGCCCCTCCCTCACCTCGGTTTAGTGCGTAAAGACTGATCCGCACACTGAAACTCGCCCCCCAGTTCCCCCCGCCCCCCCCCCCCCGTCTGTGAGACAGCAGCGCTGAGCTCACACGGTAAATACTGTGACTCAGTGTGTGTGTGTGTGTGTGTGTGTGTGTGTGGAGGCCCGTGCAGCTCTGCAGCAGCTGACATGGCACAGGGTTTCCCCAGCGGTGCCAGGAGGGGGGGGGCTGAACATTACATAATTGCAGGGAGCGATTGAAGACCGAGGAGTCCGTGTTCATCTGCAGCGCCACACATTCGTATGAAGGTCGGTTATTGGTGTTAGCAAGGTTTCTATGGCCCCTCCCTGCCCCCCCGCGGGCTCATTACTCACCGCGTGGTTTGTACTTTACTCACGCATGACCTTTTTGCTCTGATCTGCATGAGCAAAATGCAGAGGTTGAGGTACATAGTCTATAAGTACTTTTTTCTCTTATATCTGGCTTCATTTTGGTTCAACTTTTACTCTATTTCGTATTGTTTTTGTCATTGTTTGTCCATTTATCGCTATGAATAATGAATACATGCTGATGTAGACTGGTACCAACCAGAACGGGCCGGAATATGAACCTAAAAAGCAGAATGTTACAAATACCAAGATGTTCCACAACGTACGATCACATGACCCTGCAGTCCTGAGCAGGTCAATGAGCAGGAGGGGTCAAAGGTGCATTGTTAGGCCCCTCCCACTTCCTTGCAGGTTTAAACCACGTCACGGTGCAGAAGATAAAGATGCTGTTTAGACTCCTCCCCCTTTCTCCCCCGTCACAGGTTCGTTGTTCTGTTTCATTTCTCAGTCGGTCATCCTCATTCTTCTTCTTTGTTCCTCAGATTAACTGCGTGACCTTCCCTCTGCCTGGAGAAGGTCCGGAGCAGCAGCTCCTGAAGCCCAACGAATGGAGCTACTGCGACTTCTTCTGGGTGAGTCGGGCCGGAACAAACCGGTGGAGTGATGATGAGGATGATGAAAACAAGGGGGACCACGGGGCAGATGTGACTACAGGCAGAGAGCACAGTGGATCCTCTCATATTCAAGCATTTATCCCACAGTGTAGAAACACTGATTACAAGTAACAGACCTGCATTCAAAATCTTCAGTTAAAGTACAATAGCATTTGCATTAAATGTGTTACAGATGCCTCAGTAATAGGGGTCATTGCGCACGATGGAAGATGTATAAATCTATAATGTGTAACTGGATCTCTTCGCTTTAATTTTGCAGCTTTTTAAGTCGGAGCTCGATAAATTTATTTCGGATAATTTATTAATTTATTTATCATTTCTTTCAAAAAAGTGAACAGCACCTCAACATTTTACTCGACTATAGTACTTGAATAAAAGTACAATTCTCAAAAGTTTTCTAGCACTGTTACATTTGTTATCCAAATCAATGAATAACAAATGTGATTCAGTACATACCATCAAAATAAAGACAAATGTTAGGGAACATTATCAAAAATGTTCATCTTTTAATAAAACAATAAAATATAGATTTTGCGAGGAGTTCGGTCCATCCGTCTAAAAGTGTCAACGTCTGCAGAACACGTTCCGTTTTTTTCCAATCATTGCTGATGCAAAGTGCTTTTATACAAGGAACAGGTTTATAAACCCGATGGATCCGCTCTCTTTTCCACGTAAAAGCCCCATCGACCCCCCACCATCGACCCCCCCCCAACGCCTCCGCACGCTTCCACCCTGAATGAGATCTGGTTGGCTGACAAACTGTCGGCCTGCATCCCAGAGTGAAGCCCCGCCCCCCTCGATGGCGTCTGCCGCCGCGTCCTGATGCTCTGCGACGAGACGCTGTGCGAAACCACATCTGGCACCTCTGACCCACATCGGCCGGCTCGCTGGGGGCCGCGCACACACACACACACACACACACACACACACACACACACCCACACACACACCGACTAGCACTGTCCTTCTTGACCTGTGAGTCACACATTCAGACCCCCCCCCCCCCCCCCCCCTCTGAACGCTCTCTCTGTAAACTCGTAGGTTGTTAACTGATTCTGTGACGCTCTCCTCCTCCTCCTCCTCTTCATCGTCCTCTTCCTCCTCAGACCGACAAGAAGGACCCCCAGGGCACCACCTCGGTGGCGGGCTTCGAGGTCCTCCTGCAGAAGCAGCTGAAGGGCAAACAGATGCAGAAGGAGATGTCCGAGTTCATCCACGAGAGGTGACGCTTTCCGTCCTGATTATTATACATCAGATTATTTATGATTTATACACGAACGACATCCCAAAGCCGTCAGAGGAGGAAAGAGGAAGGTTGTTTAGAAAGGATCGGTGGGGATGGAAGCTTTTGTCTCTAGGCTGCGATCGATGGATGACCCCGTTAATTAAAGAGGCGTTGGATCTCCACTCGGCCCACAGGAAGTTCATGGATTGTTCCTGGCTCCCATTGAAGCTGCAGCGGGACGTCAGTAACGGGCACGGAGCAGTAGGAGTTCACTTTGAACTGCTCCGTCCGCTCTCACGTCCCTCTAAAGCATTATCTCCGCCCCTTCTACAAAAGCCCTGTGTCTCTGTGAAGGAACCCGGGAGGCCCCCGGATCCCCGACCCACGCTGACGCACACAGAGCCCTCCGTTGTTGAGCATCGCAGCTCCCCTCGAGAATCCAGACTAATCCCAAAGCGCTTGTCCCGTCACTTTGTCGCAGGCTGAGAATCACACGATTAGGAAATAAGCGGCTGTATCGTTACACACATATAAGAAACTAGTCACAAGTCCCTCTTTGTTATCTATGTAGGTTGGGAATACATCACGATACGGTTTCAACGGACCCTGAATGCATCATCATGTTACTGTAGGGAAGCTCGGTACGTTAGCGTCGCTGCTAACGTTGCTAGCTCTACCCCCCCCCCCCCCATCTACCACCTCTGCCCTTGAGCCGGGGAGCTCGGGGCTTCCTCTTCTCACCCCCGCTGTGTTTGTGTCTCAGGATAAAGATTGAAGAGGAATACGCCAAGAACCTCTCCCAGTTGTCTGTGAGCCCGCTGGCAGCTCAGGAGGAAGGGTGAGTGAGTGGAGTGCGCGGTGAATACTGAGCGCGGTCCCACGCCGCCGTCGCCTTTCTTCACACCTTCTTCAGCAGAGCTCCGAGCCAGTAGATGCTCCGCTGGAGAAACGGGGGGGGGGTGGGGGGGTCTCGGTCGCTCTCCACCGGGGAGAGATTCCTCCGATTATGTAAAAATTAACCCAACGGAGACACGAAACCGAAAGGGTCTCCTCCACCACAGAAGCTCTTATGTGTCACGAAACAATTTGTTCTTTCAGAGATTCTCAAAAGAATCACACAAACGCACCACGTTGTCTCCCGCAACGTTTGCAGGGAAGTGATTCATCCACGAAACAAGCGTCACATGACTAAACCGCTAAAGAGCGCTCAGAACGCTGGTGATTGACAGCTCAATCACGTTTATCCGTCAGTGTGTGAAAATCCCCGCTGTGTGCTGTGAACGTCCGTCACAGGTCACAACCGGACCTCTCGAAATAAACACATGACTGCATTTAAAAAGCCCTGTCGATGAGCAGCACATCCGCCGCGTCCTCGCTCCCCCGCCTCTTCTCTAAACGTGAACGTCATGTGCTCGGCCTCTTCTCAGGACTCTCGGTGAAGCCTGGACTCAGCTGAAGAAGAGTCTCCACGACGAGGCCGAAGTCCACATGAAGTTCTCCAACAAGGTGACACGTGACGGAGGAATGTATCTTCAGCTCGGACGTACATGGCGGCTTTCTTCTCCGCTATCTTTAAGTATTTCCTGGAGAAAATGCAAACGATGGTGGGATTAAAACCCCGGGGTAAAGCGTTGCTAATGATGAACAGGAAGTGACCATATTTGGCTGTGGAGGCGTGACACAGAGACAGTACACGGCTCTGGTAGAGACGTGTCAATCACCAGGTAGCCCCGCCCTGAAGCCTCAGAACGTAGAATACAGTACATGAAGTAGGAGGGTTGCTTTTGCCTTCTTCCCATCACACAACTGTGATTATTTACTCGCCGTGTGTTCACAGCTCCACTCCGAGGTAGAAAAACCTTTGCTGACGTTCAGGGGCGACAACTTCAAGAAGGACCTGAAGAAGTACGACCATCACATCGCCGACCTCAGGAAGCAGCTCGCCAGCCGCTACGCCGGCGTGGAGAA